GGTTTTGCTACTAAGTCAAATTTCTTTAAATTTGAATAGACGATCAAACGCCCTTTCTTTAGATTAGGCATTTGCTCTATAGGCTACTTCTATAGTAATCTATATAATACCTTGTAAAATAATGAAGAAGAAAAGATGGCGACATGATGATTTGGTTGGCAGGGTAAAACTTAAAGACACTATGACTTTGTAGGTATTTTGTATAGTAAAATAATACTAATTACATACTAAAAACTACAAAGGACTCTACTTTTAGTCCTTTTACTACACAAGTTTAGTACAGAATAGGGTAGTTCTTGCGAAGTAGGTAAACCTAAGTACTTAAAATAATAAGCGTTCATACCAGAAAGGTAATAAGATTTGAAACATCATATTTTTTCTACAATATGAAGTAGTTAAGCCGCGCAACGTGTAAGATAAACCAGTTATTAAGCTGTAATAAAGTCTCTACCTCGATCTGCTAGTATCCAATTATAGACGATAAAACATCTCAAATTTAAAGGTATAAGGCATTATTAGAAATTTATTATGTAGCAGTAATAAATATAGTATCATCTTACTTATAAAAATCTAAGTGGTTTCTTTAATTAGTCTTAGCCAAATCTAAATCTTATGAAAATAAACCACAGCGTTCAAAGTATCAGCTTAAATAAAAATAAATCGTATCTTTTCGTTATTATTAGTCAGTCTAGGCCTGTTACAGGCCTAGTAGGTTACATAATTATCTAATGTAGACAAGGCTAGTAATGGAATTTTAAATAACCGAAATTTAGGCTTAAATCTACGGTACGAACTTTATATTTCTATAGAGAATGATTCATAAATTATCACTTTTCCCAAGTGTGTAACTTTCACTATCCCAATTGTTACGCCCGTAATTTGAAGTTATCGTTACTTATCTCGTATACTATTCTACGATATAATTGGTCATCTTACAGTGAAATGAAAATCTACTTCGCTGCATAAGCCAAGGTCACACACTATTAGTAACTTCGATGACAATTATAATTCACGTCAATTATATTTATCGCTGTCAAATTTTAGCTCGTAAAATTGTAACCGTTTTACATAGTTATATTAATAACATACACGTATACTCGCAAAGAGCGTTTCACTTTATGGAAAGATGTACGAGAAATACGTCTTAGTTTCAAGCTTTGTCTAATTCCGGTATATATTTTTACATCCTACTTTCACGGTGCTATCTCACGATAGATTAGTTACCGATGTTTTGTAGTAAAGCTTTATTTAGATTACGAGATAGTTCTTATGGTACTTTACATACCTGGTGCCGTAATATGTGATTGTGACTAATTAGCATGAGATTGTATATTTTTATCGCAATCGTTCGGCGAATGAACATATTGCAATCTAACTGCCTTGCATTAATCATCAAATATCTATGACATTAAATTACACCGTTTTAATTAATTAGGTGTCTAAAATAAATTTACTGCCGGATCTTATTTGTACTTATGATACATCTTTACTTCAAGCTTTATCTGATTCTCGATTATATTTTATAACCTACCGTCACGATTCTATCTCACGGTAGTTAGTAATATTTAATGACATAACTTTATTTAGATTACGAGATAGCTCATACTTTGTACATCTCATGCCATAATATATGATTGTGACTAATTTACATTAGATTGTATATTGTATCTTGATGATTGTGAAAGGATATATGATAATCTAACTGCCTTGCGTTAATCATTAAAGAGCAATAGCTTTATCTAAAGGAAGTTCGTTGGATAGTCTACTGAGATTAAAGTAAATTTAAAACTGTAGTAAATCTCTATACTTTGAGAAAGGAGCTATCGTGACATATTAGTATCGTACTGTAATGAATACTGTAAATCTTACCGTAACGTATAACTTTGTGTTGTAACAATACAAAGTTATTCTTAACGCCAAAGATTTGTACACGACAGCCAATTAGTATTCATGACCACATTTGAGATTAATGACCTGCACTATCCCGTGTATCCCTTATCTATACGTATTACAGAGCATAAGGTCACAAATATGTAGTATAAAATATGTTTCATTATGCGCAACAATTCTATAAAGAGTCGCTATAATTAGGTTTGCCTATCGCAATCGCATGTCGTGACAATTTGTTAGGCTTATTTTCGCATTAATGTGGTCAGTTCTTAATTAGATCGATATAATAAATGCTGATAAAGACATAAGTTTTGCTTTTTAATGTTAGATAAAGGGACTAGATTATTAATTTTTAAGATTTTGATATAATTGTGCTATATCTAGGTAGTATAGCGTAACATTATAGTCATGAGGTATATATATGTTATGTAACCTATACACAAGTAATTTCATACAAAAATAAATGAAAGCTGTCTTACTCGACAGTCTGCTAACGGCCCATCAGGTTATGGTATCTATTGTTATTATTGAATGAATAATATAGCTGCCACTAGTATTGACCTATATTTGGCTGATGAAAACTACATTTGGGTTGCATAGCGGACAAGGAGTTGAACGGTAGCAAACGTAAAAGCGATACCAATTCCGGTAGTAAGGGTAGTCAAAGTCTATAGCCAAGCATTCTAAATTTTATGAATTGGCCGTTAGTGCTAAAATAGTGAAATAACACGATAGTACTTTAAAAGGGATAGATTATAATGTAGTTAGGCTAACTAATCTAGCAGCTTGCATTTTATGGGTAACTATACTAAGAATTCCAGTAACAAAGAGCTTAATATTTAAAATACAGTAAATAATGATACTTTTTAGCCTTGCCCTAAATTCTTGCCGATTTGTTTAACTTATAAATACTGTCTTGTATCAAAGAGCAAGAAATCAGTTTTGAGATCATCTTGCTACATATCGCAATAAATTTAAATGATATGTCACACTTATACTAATATTCTACTCTAACGCTCACTATATGTCTAGAAATAGTACGGATATTATATGTTACTTTTGTACACTTTCAGTCTTTACTTGGATTACTAGTGTACTTCTACATACAGAATAGATGTAATAGTATACTTCATACAATAAGTATTGTACTATTATACAGAATAAAGTTAACATATCATTTTGACTAAACATTGTTAAGATAATGTGTACAAATGCGTTCAGGCATGGAAAAAATTACACAAGTAATTGTTGTATCAAGGTAATCAAGATGTTACCTTTACTATTATCTATTAAATCTATATGTTGATGTCTGAAAGGAAAAAGTTATAGCTATTACTTATCCAAGAATGACCTAATTCAACTTCAAGTTACACAATGGCCTTAGTAGTAGGGTCTTTCTAACACAAACAGCATTACCTATTGGCGAATAAATTAACTATCTAATCTCATTTCTATGATTGCAATGATAGCGCTCTTAATATTTCAAAGACTATCTTTACTAAAGAGGTTACGATCAAAATCCATAATCAGCCATTATGCATAGCCAAAGTCAAATAATTTAAGCGAAATTATCATATTTCGGACTTTGTCCGAATAAATCTATTACTCAAATCCTAACTTACGCACAACTTCGAGGGAGGCGTAGAATTAAGCGGTAAAAGTTTCATTAATATAATATGGGTAAGTATTGAAATTATAACCTACTGCTACCTGTTGGTAGACCTACAGAAAGTATTTGCAGCGAAAATTTTACTAATACCGTAAAAAGAAGATTTAAAATTGTACTTTATAAATTTCCTTAACAAACATATCGTGACTATTCATACTACACAGGCAGGAATTTTAGCCTTGAATTACTAATAAAATAGTCACTACTCTACCTTGTACAAGTTAAACACTTCTGGTATATATCGTTATTGTATTATTATCATAATTTACATTCTGTGACTAAGAAACGTAAGGTAAAAGTCTATAAGTAGATACTGACTTAAACGCTCTTTTACCAAATATTATACACGCACAGCAAAGTACCGTAAAGATGGAACTTTTATTAGCATAGACAAATCTACAATTTTTATACATTGCTGAACTCAAAATGTTCCCATTTATATTGTTACCATTTAACTTGTAAACAGCAGCAGTATTATTATTATTATACATTTATACATTACTAGGAGAGACATCTGGAACTGAGATATTCCTTACGTAGCTTTTCTATCAGGAAATATTTTTAACCTCATACCCAAATTTAACCTTAACCTAAGCATACATGCTAGTTCAACTGTCACTAGCTAGAATTTGAGTCATCGTATTACTATCTACACACAATAATAATCAATATCAAAAATGTAATAAACTATCACAGATAATATACACGTAAAGGTATTACTTATTTGTGTAGTACTACAGATACGGATATTTTCCATTTTAGCTACTACTGCACTATTAAACTATCCTAGCGTTGAGGTGACACCTAAACAATTATACAATGGGGATACTTCCATTGCTTAAGTTATCCACGTCTTTGCTACTTCGAATAGCTGCTTTAATACTGAAATAGGCGACTGGAATTAAACTAAGAATAGTGATGCTACCAAAAGCATAACGGAAGAAGAAAAAGGTCTTGAGAAGGCTAGTTTGATAGGATGCATGAGCCAAGAATTCATAGACGCTCATGCTGATTGCCCATATACTGCCAAAACTATTGAAAACGCTGAGAACGTAGTATGGATATTTCTGTATTGCAAACAAGAATAAAATAGTATCCAGTTGGAATAGTGATTCTACTTGTTTTAATAATGCAATAGATATAATATAAATTTACCGCTATTCCGTTATCTGTAGTTTGGATATCAATTCCGTGTCTAGCTGTTACAATAACCTATATTTGTGACATTTAAGCTAATTTAGTAAGTTATAATTAAGTAAATATGGAAATAGTTAAAAGAATCGATTCATTACACTTTCTATTATTGATATAAAATAATCGATCTGTGATTGTTATAAATGTTAATAACTGACCATGATAGCTACAGCTACAGGTGGAAATCCGTAAACAGGATAATTCATAATTGCCATATTAAAGATTGCAACAGCTCCTGCAACTGATGCGGAGACCAGCATACCGACATTCATGGTATCAATATCTGACGATTTAGTAGGTTTTGGCGCTTTATTTAGGACGTCATCGGTAGCTACGATCGCAACGGAGGATAGGATCAATCCAATGAAGGTAAATAGAGTTTGGCAAAGTGTTAAAATTGTAAAATCGAATCGTTCCCATTTCGTATCGCCCGGTTGGTTAGCATAGCGGACGAGAGTTTGAACCATAGCAATAGTCGATGCAGCACTGATTCCAGCGGTAAAGTTAGTAAAAGTTTTAGTCCAGACACCCTAATTACAAAATAAAACATTCATATTACTTAAACAAACATAAAGTGTATCGTAATAATCTTCCAACGACAGTAAGTTCTTAATTAGGAATAAATCACTACTATTTATTAAAACGGCGATAAAATACATGATAATGTTCTTTCGACGCTAGTAAAGTTACGCTTACCAAATCAACAACTTGTTTTTCGTGAGCAATGAGGCCTAGAATTCCAGTAGCGAAAAGCTAAAATTGAACACAAAATGTCAAAGACAGCTTTTATTAGTTTGTGTAAGCGATGTAAGTTTTTACACTACTTTGGCTGATAACTTGTAATTATTTTAAATTGGAGAAAATACAAGAAACAAGCTGGCAAGAAACTGCAATTATCCACTTATCAAGATAAAACTCACCATAATAGCATGGAAATTAGCCGTGACAACGTGATATAGATACCACCGTTCCATAAATATAGCAACAGATAGCCCAAAAATAGCTAGACTAGTTACTATCATCGCCCAGAAAAGTACCGCTTTGTTGAATGGAGTTTGAACTAGCGAATATTCATTATCGTCAGAATAGATACGACGATTTTGCTTAACAGCCACATAGATAGAAACAGCTGCTACGGAAACAAAGCCCGCGATAGGATTGATACGGGTATAAAAAATCCTAACGAAGAACCACGGCGCTTGAAAAAAAGGCTATGACTAATCTGGCCAATATTGCGGGCGATGCAGCAGATATAATGACAGCTAGAGCAGTAAGACCGGAAGCCTAGACGATTAACGTTAATTTTAAAATAATTATTGGAGTTTTAATCGATTAAGATCGAATATAATATAAAATAGGGTGAAAAATTTATTGTTAAGAAATTAAAGATTTAATCGAAAGCGATATCGAAATAAATTACCGTACCTGAGTTGTTGAAGTTGTAGCTAGATCGTTTACTTTTAGCAAAGCTGTAGCAAGTGTAAGAGCCTATAGATAAGTTATAATAATCCAAGCTAGTTACTAAAAGTTATTTTGGTTACGTAAGGAGATAGTACTCTTAAGAAGTTTATTCGACTACTCAGAAAAATAAATTAGAAAAGTAGCCGATATTACGTAAGTCGATTCTTCCATTTCGGCTGCAACTATTATGCTATTTTTATATTACATTCCGTAAAGATAAAAATAATCTTAACAAACTAAAGTAAAGTTCGACTTACAAGAAGTCCCATCAATCCAAGATCTATCATAAATATATTTTCACAACTCCGCATCATAACTTGGTTGGAAATATAAGTAAATAGACCACCAAAAAGCATGGCTACGGCTCCAATATAGACAATGATACTCAATTTACGTGGATTATACATCTTGAGATTTTTCTATTCCAATTCAAACTAGAAAATAGTTTACGTGTATTTCTTAGATAAAGTTAAAAGTAATTTAAACGATCCAAGATAGTTTTCGACTAATAATATAGATCATCAAAGTTAAGATATCAAGGAGAATAACAGCCAAGTTTTTTCTTTTTAGGATGTAAACTCGTTGAAGACAGAAGGCCAATTTAACTGAAATAAGGTTTGTGAAATAAGGTTTGTGAAATTGGATCCAAAACGGTTTCTATTGTTGAATTGCCGTTAACAGTTCCTCTTATATAAGATATGATGCGTCAATAAGCGAAGAATAATTAACTACTCATCAGCTATGCTATTGAACTTTGATCATAGCTTGAACTCTGACTAGACTATAGAGCTACTGTAACAAATGATACTGAATATTTATTAACATTACGTAATGTTTTCAAACTCGGTCCTTAAACTAAAGAACAGTATGAATTTATATTAAGTTTACTCTAGCTGCCAGTAAATATTGTTGCTAGTCTTAGTTATTGTTGCATCTACTAGAACGCTACTTTTAATCTCTTCTATGAAGAAAAGCAACAATTAACTTGATCTTGTAGTGATGTAGGGGATCAAGATAAGCATGTTATTTCTTGATAGTACATTCATAAGGCGATATTATAAAATGTTGATTGGATCATCCTCTAGTGTATAAAAATATAAATAGAAATATTGGTAATAATAAAATATAGTAGGAATTTCTAGTATATTTCTATGTCTTCTATTTTTATCTGTTGATGTGGCTACCTATTTAACCATATATGGAATTTGAATTATGTTTCGATTATTTACAGTAGAAGGTAAGAATCAACAGAAGACAACAGTCTATTGTTTATAATTTGAATGCGATGATATTAGAATAAATTAATTCTTAATAGCGTTCAAAACAGTCCGAAAGAAGATCAGATAGTCATAGACCATGCATACCGAAAATCACATCACAGACGAGGCCAATTCATTGCTTAAATTTAGAATCATATGGAGAAACTATTATTAAATTACTACCTGCTAAAATTGATATAGTATAACTGAAGTGGCAATTGTTTAGGCTACAGATAGTTTAGATGAGATCATGTCGGCACTTATTTAGAATATCTAACATCGGGTATTACTGAGTAGCTGTTAAAGAAATTGTATCAATTTCATACGGTACGTTATCAACATGGTTGTAATGATTTTGTGCTATTGAGGTAGGTTGTAATACTGTTGTCAACGTTATGCAGCTAGTAATAACAAATGTAAGTATAGTTATGTTGTTAGTGTAAAAGATCTTCTAGTTTAAATTCCGCAAAGTTTGATCTCATTGCTCAATTCTTTGTAAAGTAGGCAGGAAATAAGACGTTATTTATCCTATTTACTGCCTACTTTACAAAGATTTGAGCAACGAGGTCAAAATTTGCCCTAAGATAGCTTTAAAACAAAGCGTGGAGTAAGAGTGACGTCAGATTGCTAATTTAGAAAGATATGATCAAATTAGCTAAAACTATATATGATAATTAAAAAAGCTACGAAAAGGTTCTTAAACCTTTGAATTATGGCTGAGCATCATGCGCATGCAAGCTTTATAAGATTTACTGCTTTATACTCCTATACTTGATGATGAGTCAGATAGAATCACCGACAGTTCAACATATTGTATCTGATTTTATAACCCTGGATTTTAGCCACGGAAAGGGAGAAACTGCAGCTAATGTTTGTAAATAAGCAAATAGAGGATTTGAATACAGGGTATGGAGAATTATAAAAATAATCAGATGATTTATTTTTGATACAGCATTCTTGTATACTGATTAAAAGTAAAAGCAGAGGAGCCGCAATTAATATCTGTAGCAAATTAGAGTAAGACTAGTACTGGAGCACAAGCGCTATTAACCAATATTGCGATTATAGTATGATGGTTAAACTCTTGATGTATTCGATAGTTAATTAGTCAAAAATTTATCTTGTGTTTTATCAAATAAATAGTTAGCTTCTACAAACAAGTAAAACACTAATTCCTTATCGGAGGAATGCCAATTTAGTATTTCTAATGCCTTCAAACCTAACCGTAGAATAGTAGAAAATTGAATTTATGTGCATGTAGCATAGATTGCAATATATTTCGCTATTCGTATATGATGTATATTAAATAGTAAAGTCTATTCAGTATTTGCTGCTATAATGTATTTTCTACAAAACAGTTCCAACAGTTTCTGTGTGATCATGACGTAAATAGAACTTCATGATATTACATGATGTTGTTACCGTAAAAGATTCATACAACATTGTTTCGATTATGATAAAAGCGTGCGAATAAACGAAGCCGTGAAGTAGTTATTTCTGAATATAAGTTGCAAAATTTCGCATCATCAAAGTTGGGATTGATAACTCTAGTCTAGAGTTAGCTTATCTTCTGTAAATAACGCCATTTTATTTATCAGTACATACTAATTAAGCAATGTCTTATTCTCTGTTTAAAATTCTACAGTATCATAAAAATAATATCTTCTAATAATCGTTTATGTCATTAATTTTAAAGACGAATTTAGTATTATTGATCTCGTTCTCTAAAACGCAGTGATTGATGGAATGTCTAAAAATACTACTACACTAAAAGTAATATTTTACTAAATTTGCTGTAATTGGAAATCACATTTATTTAAGGTAAGTAAAGTCTTATTTTGCATATATCTCAATATCGATGTCTAACGGAAAGCAACACTCTAATATGGTAATTATCGTTAGAAGCAATGGCAGCTAAATATTGCGCTTATCGAGTTTACATCTGGTAGCGACTGGACATAAAGCCAAGTTTAGTACAGAATAGGATAGTTCTTGCGAAGTAGTTAAACCTAAGTACTTAAAATAATAAGCGTTCATACCAGAAAGGTAATAAGATTTGAAACATCATATTTTTTCTACAATATGAAGTAGTTAAGCCGCGCAACGTGTAAGATAAACCAGATATTAAGCTGTAATAAAGTCTCTACCTCGATCTACTAGTATCCAATTATAGACGATAAAACGTCTCAAATTTAAAGGTATAAGGCATTATTAGAAATTTATTATGTAGCAGTAATAAATATAGTATCATCTTTCTTATAAAAATCTAAGTGGTTTCTTTAATTAGTCTAAGCCAAATCTAAATCTTATGAAAATAAACCACAGCGTTCAAAGTATCAGCTTAAATAAAAATAAATCGTATCTTTTCGTTATTATTAGTCAGTCTAGGCCTGTTACAGGCCTAGTAGGTTACATAATTATCTAATGTAGACAAGGCTAGTAATGGAATTTTAAATAACCGAAATTTAGGCTTAAATCTACGGTACGAACTTTATATTTCTATAGAGAACGATTCATAAATTATCACTTTTCCCAAGTGTGTAACTTTCACTATCCCAATTGTTACGCCCGTAATTTGAAGTTATCGTTACTTATCTCGTATACTATTCTACGATATAATTGGTCATCTTACAGTGAAATGAAAATCTACTTCGCTGCATAAGCCAAGGTCACACACTATTAGTTACTTCGATGACAATTATAATTCACGTCAATTATATTTATCGCTGTCAAATTTTAGCTCGTAAAATTGCAACCGTTTTATATAGTTATATTAATAACATACACGTATACTCGCAAAGAGCGTTTCACTTTATGGAAAGATGTACGAGAAATACGTCTTAGTTTCAAGCTTTGTCTAATTCCGGTATATATTTTTACATCCTACTTTCACGGTGCTATCTCACGATAGATTAGTTACCGATGTTTTGTAGTAAAGCTTTATTTAGATTACGAGATAGTTCTTATGGTACTTTACATACCTGGTGCCGTAATATGTGATTGTGACTAATTAGCATGAGATTGTATATTTTTATCGCAATCGTTCGGCGAATGAACATATTGCAATCTAACTGCCTTGCATTAATCATCAAATATCTATGACATTAAATTACACCGTTTTAATTAATTAGGTGTCTAAAATAAATTTACTGCCGGATCTTATTG